CCAAACAACAATGACGGCTGCAACCAAAAAATAGCCGGGTGTTGTGGTGGGCACCTGTGGTCCCAGCTACTTGGGAGGTGGAGGCAGGAGACTCGTTTGAGCCCAGGAGTTGGAGGTTGCTGTGAGCTGTGATGTCACAGCACTCTACCCAGGGGTGACAGCTTGAGGCTCTGTCTCCAAAAAAAAAAAAAGACAGAAACACTCCATCCTCAGACGCAGGTGTGTGGAAAGTGGCAAGCAAGCCTTGCTCCCTCGTGGAGGCTCTCAGAGTACAGACCAGAGAGGGAACAGGAAGGATCCAGGGAGCTCACAATTGAGCTGGGAGTTTATTGCGGGGGGGCGGCGGGGAGCAGAGTAGATGAGCCTGGAAAAACATTAGGACCATATTACAAAGGATGTTGTTTGTCATATTAATGAGTCTAAAGCAGTGGTTCTCAACCTTCCTAATGCTGTGGCCCTTTAATAGAGTTCCTGTGGGTTGCAACCTACAGGTTAAAAACTGCTGGTCTACAGTTTATTTGCGGGAAGAACTGGTGTACTTTTTTTAGGGTGCTAGAAGAATTATTAATTAAAAAAACAGTTTTCTTGAGTTATAATTGTCATATATTAAACTGTACATATTTTGTGTGTATAGTTTGAGCTTCTTTTTTTAGTCGCCCTGGGTAGAGTGCTGTGGCATCACAGCTCACAGCAACCTACAACTCCTGGGCTCAAGTGATTCTCCTGTCTCTGCCTCCCAAGTAGTTGGGACTACAGGCACCCACCACAACGCCCGGATATTTTTTTTTTCAGGTTATTTTTTTGGCTGGGGTTGGGTTTGAACCCACCACCTCCAGCATATGGGGCTGGTGCCTTACTCCTTTTAGCCACAGGCGTCACCCTTGGCTATTTTTGTTGTTGTCGTTGCAGCCATCATTGTTGTTTGGCAGGCCTGGGCTGGATTCGAACCTGCCAGCTCAGGTGTTCATGGCTATAATGCCTTAGCTGCTTGAGCCACAGGTGCCAAGCCTAGTTTGATCATTTTTGGCACACACACACCTCTATGAAATCATCACCAAAATCAAGATAATCACTCCTTGGCCGGGCACAGTACCTCACACCTGTAATCCTAGCACTCTGGGAGGCTGAGGAGGGAGGATTGCTTGAGATTAGGAGTTTGAAATCAGCTTAGACAACATAGCAAGGCCCTGTCTTTACAAAATGTGAGAAAAATTAGCTGGGTATGGTGGGATACATCTGTAGTCCTAGCTACTCAGGAAGCTGAGGCAGAAGGATCACTGGAGCCCAAGAATTTGAGGTTGCTGAACTGTGATCTCTAGCCCAGGCAAGAGAGCCAGACCCTTTCTCAAAATAACATAACAAAGATGGGGCTGGTACTGAATTGTGAAATTCAGCAGTTACGATTTGGGTAAGGTTTGGCGTAAGCAGCAGCACTGGGCTCTGGCTGATGGTTTGGCGGGTGTGGGGCACTGAGAACAGTGGGCTGCCTGATTAGCTTAGCTCAGGCCACATATCTACCTTGGCCAAGCCAGCAGGGAGCCAGGTCAGAGTCTCAGCACTGTCCAGAAGGGAAGTGGTCGTCCCCCAAAATGAATCTGGGACGCTCAAGAAGAAGAAGCTTATAAACTTTAATTACGTCTAACTCCTGTTTCTTCAATAAAAATGTAGCCCATTGCCTGAAACAGAACTCAGCTTGGGAAAAATAGTCATTATAAACAAACACGATGGTGTAGTTGATTATTTTTTCATTTTTCCGGAAGTGACATGAGTGCTTTATTCATTTTAAATTTGAATTTTAATTTTATAAGACAGAGTCTCACTCTGTTGCCCAGGCTAGAGTGCTCTGTTGTCAGCCTAGCTCACAGCAACCTCAAACTCCTGGGTTCCGGCAGTTCTCCTGCCTCAGCCTCCCAAGTAGCCAGAATGATAGGCACCTGCCATGACACCCGGCTCATTTTTTCTATTTTTAGTAGAGATGGGATCTGGCTGTCACTCAAGCTGGCCTTGAATTCCTGAGCTCCAGGGTCCTCCCACCTTGGCCTCCCAGAGTGCTGGGGTTATAGGCGTGAGATACCGCACCTGCCCCTCAACAAAGTCTTCAGTGATGGTGCTTTTTCCAAATTAGACTCAGTTCTGCTTCTCCTTCTAGGGGGGAGTTAACATAATGTTCCATGGGATCCAGGACTTGGAGGACAGTGGTGCCCGCGTGCACCTCGTGATGGAGAAGGGAGACACTGTTTTCTTTCATCCTTTGCTGATTCATGGATCTGGTCAGAATAAAACTCAAGGATTCCGGAAGGTGGGTATTCACGTTGCTGCACTCTCTGAAGACGAATGAGCGAGAAACAAAAACTGTAAGATATATTAAAATATAAAGGATTTGGGACTTTTCACAAAACTGAACTCTCTCCACCTTATGCTTGTTTTTCTCTGACTCCTAAGAAGCCAGGCAACCATAGGGGCCTACCCTTGTCAGTAGTACATCGGGAGCATTCGTGGAATCACATCTGAGCAACAGTCTGTGCCTTCTGAGACAAAGACAAAGGCTGAAATACTAAAGTACCACAATTGGGAATTTCTATTGCTCATAGCAACCACAGCAAGAGTAGAATTGATAATCTCTTCACTGTTGGGAAAAATAGTATCAGCCTAAGATGAAAGTTCTAAATTAGTTGCCCAGAAATCAGATTTTGGGGGCTGGACACAGTGGCTCAGTAATTCCACAGTGGCTTGTAATTCCAGCCCTCTGGAAGGCAAAGGTGGGTGGATTAGTTGAGCTCAGGAGTTCGAGACCAGCCTGATCCACAGTGACACCCCATCTCTAAAAATAGATGGGCGTTGTGGAGGGCTCCTGGAGTCCCAGCGATTCAGGAGGCTGTGGCAGGAGTGTTGCTCAAGCCCAGGAGTTTGAGCTTGTTGTGAGCTGGGCTGAGGCCATGGGGACAGAGTGAGACTTTGTCTAGGGTGATCAGATGTCCCGCTTTTGAACAATTTGTCCCGCATCCTGTGCATTTTAAAAAAGTCCCGATTTTTGGAAAGAATGCATGAATGGGCAGGAGAACAGGAAGGGAATATAGGGTTTTCGGCTGCCATGTGGCTATTTCGCCAGAATATGAATTTTATATTATTTTTGTTAATTTTATAATGTTAAACTGTAATAATTACAAATAATTGTTGAGAAGTGATTATGGAGAACTGCTTATCAAAGTTTGCATTGTTGGCTCTGCGCCTGTGGCTCAATCGGCTAAGGAGCCAGCCACATACACCTAAGGTGGCGGGTTCGAATCCCCAGCCTGGGCCCACCAAACAACAATGATGGCTGCAACCAAAAAATGGCCGGCGCTGTGGCAGGCGCCTATAGTCCCAGCTACTTGGGAGGCTGAGGCAGGAGACTCGCTTGAGCCCAGGAGTTGGAGGTTGCTGTGAGCTGTGTGGCCATGGCACTCTACCCAGGGGGATAGCTTGAGGCTCCATCTCAAAAAAAAAAAAAAAAAAAAAAGTTTGCATTGTTGTCAGGCCCTGCCCTGCCCTGTCCCCTACCCCGCCCCTGCCCTGCCCCCCCCCATGTTGTCCCGCTTTACAAATGTTAAAATCTGGTCACCCTAACTTTGTCTCAAAAAAAGAAAAAAATGAAACCAGATTTTGCAGATAGCTGTGTTTTATTTCCCACCACTTAGCCTCAGAATATTCTAAATTTAATAACATCAGTGCTTACATTTAAAAATGAACAAAATTCCATGTAAATCCCCCCATTTCTTACTTCTCTTAAATTCAGCAGATCTGGCAGAACCGTGGACTCACACTCCCTGCCGGTAACATGGTTCCATACTAAATATTAGGGATCCTTTGGGAGCTTAGTGGGGTCAATCTATTTATTGCCATTGAAATAACAGACCATCCCAAATTCACCTGGGTAACTAATTTTCATGACTAGGAAGATGGTGAACCGTGGTAGAGTACGTTCTTTTGTAAGACTTTGGGATATCCACTCATTAGGAAAATCAAATGCTAAAAACGTTAAAGACACTTACATACACCTTTTGGAAATAAATATCACAGACAGTTAAAAATCTTTTGTAACTTATTCCTTTTTTTGAGACAGGGTCTCAAGCTGTTGCCCTGGGTAGAGTGCTGTGGCATCACAGCTCACAGCAACCTCAAACCCTTGGGCTTAAGCAATTCTCTTGCCTTTGCCTCCCAAGTAGCTGGAGTTACAGGTGCCTGGCTATTTTTTTTGTTATAGTTGTCGTTGTTATTTTTTTCTTTTTTGAATCAATAAAGCCTAGATGGCCAGTCTTTGATAGCCAGGCTTTGACAGCTAAGAATTGGGTATAGTCTATATATTTCCATCTTTTTTTAAAATTTTCTCTATACATATACATGTGCTTATTTGGTTTCCACTTTTTACCTTACTTTTTTTGCATTATTATTATTATTGCTCAATATTTTGTTGCAGCAACTGTCTGATTTCTTTTCTGAATGTGTTTATCTTTGTTTGTTCTTTACGAGGTTTTTGTTTCTAGTCCTTATCTTAAACATTGTTATTGTTATTAAATGTTAAGCCTTTTTAATTTTGTGAAGGCAAAAAGTTGTCATTGTTTTAGCTGGCCCAGGCCGGTTTCAAACCCACCAGCCCTGGTGTATGTGGCTGGCATCCTGCCCACTGAGCTACGGGTGCTGCCATTTTTTTTTTAGCTTATCAGTTAGCCATTAGCTGGGAACAAAAAAAGAAAGAGAAACAGAGAGAGAAGACCAAAGTACAAAGAGACAGATCTGTGTTAGGATGGACCGGACTTTGCATATATAAACAGCAAGGGAAAGGGGGATCCTTCCTTGATTGCTGGTGTTCATTTTTTCCCAATGTCAATTTGTGGCCTTTCAGGCGATTTCCTGCCATTTTGCCAGCTCGGACTGCCACTACATTGATGTGAAGGGCACTAGTCAAGAAAATATCGAGAAGGAAGTCACTGCTATTATAGGAAAGCGAATCTTTGGGGATGAAAATAGCATCACCTTGAAGGTATGTTTATGTCAAATAGCAAGGTAAAAATCTGAGTCTTACCTTCAGATGTTTCGTAATTCTTACACCTAATTCAATGGGAAAGCCAACAGGAAGTACCTGGGTTTAGAGGTCATTCTGGAAACATGGCTGAGCCCCCATTGAGAACAACAATGGCGTTTTCATTTGCATGCCCTTGTGGGAGACCTAGAACTTGGGCGGTCCTACACAGGCAGTCCTGGCCCATGCAGGACAGTTAAGGGGAAAAAATATAGATTCGGACAAGAGAGAATAAAGGACAAAACACTGTCTTCTGAAGGCACCGAAGGAATCTTCAAGGTTTAGGATCTCAATCATGAACTGCCTTTATGGGTTAGGAAACCCAGTAAGACACCCAGAGACTTAATTCTCAAGCACCATTTTGTTTTGGTAAATTTGCATCTGGAGTTTTATAAGAGGCCTCGTTTTTTACTTAGTCGAGGTTACCAATCACTAACATGTATTGATAAGGAGCAGGAGACAATATTTTATATGCTTTTCTAATTGATGCACGTTAGTTGTAAATTACAGTGGAACCTAAGTTGGCCACCCAAGGGACTGTCACAAACTGGTCAACATAAGAAATTAGGTCTACTGAACTGATACATATATGTGTTGCATTTGTGGTCTGTGAAAATTAGGTCAACTTAGGGAGGGGGTCAAGTGTAGAAGCTCTGCTGTATTTGTTTTAAACCAGTGGAAATTCTTTTTTCTTTTTTCCTTTTTTTATTTTTTATTGAATGGTAACTATGTACATTAATGCACTTCTGGGGTACAGTGTGGGGTTTTCACATGCAATCTGAAATACTTGCATCAAACTGGTCAACACAGCCTTCGTGTCATTCTCTCAGTTATTGTTTTAAAACGTTCACATTCTACTCTTAGAAAGATTCACCTGTACCCCTAAACCAGTGGAAGTTCCATGGAGCTCATCATCCATTGAAAAATTATCAGTCAAGGCAGTAAAGTAAATCAGTGTATTTGCTTTATAGAGTTTGCACATCTTAGCCTCTGCACCAAGAAGCAGATCCTGTTTTTTATTTGTATTAGATAATCATAAATACGTGCATGCCCCCCGGAATGACTGAGTGCTGTGCGCACGATGAGCCTGAGCCGGCCAGCAGGCTGCAGGTCATTGCACCGCCAGGGCTGTGCTGCTGCTGCTACGCCCCTGAGAGCCTCCTTCCTAAACACCTTCCAGCTCAAGACCCTTGCTTCTCCCTGACAACCTAGAAATGTGTCCCAGGTCTGAAAATGCTCTGATTTCTGCAGATTTGCAGATCCTGGAATTCTCATCCTCCTTCTCCACTTGTCTAGTTTGTTTGTTTGTTTGTTTGTTTGCAGTTTTTAGCCAGGGCTAGGTTTGAACCTGCCACCTCCGGCATATGGGGCCGGTACCCTACTCCTTTAAGCCCCAGGTGCCACCCCCACTTGTCTAGTATTTAAAATGTCTTACATAGCCAACATATTTTGCTGTTTGGGACTTTGGTCTAATACCCTTAATATATATTTTTAATTGGTTTTGCTTTTTTCTGAGACAGGGTCTTGCTCTGTTCACCAGAGAAGAGTGCAGTGGCGTCATCCTAGCTCTCTGCAACCTCAAACTCTTGGGCTCAGGCAATCCTCCTGCCACTGCCTTCAGAGTACCTGGGACTACAGGTGCCTACCAGGACATCTAGCTTTTCTTTCTTT